TACTGGGCTCCGGCGATCCTTCCACCTCAGCCTTCCAAGTAGCTGGAACTACAGGCGCGCGCTACCACACCCGGCTAAGTTTTTGATTCATTGTAGAGATGAGGTCTCACCAAGTTGCCCAGGCAGGTCTCGAACCTGCGGCTTCAGGCAATCCACTCTCCTCAGCCTCCCAAGGCACAAGACTACAGGCTGAGCCACCAAGTCCAGCTTTTTGTTTTTGTTTTTGTTTTTTTTTAAAGCAAATCTGCTTTGGGAGACCATCTCTACAATAAATCAAGAGAAATTAGCTATATGTGGTGGAGCATGCCTGTAGTTCCAACTTTTTGGAAGGTTGGGGCAGAAGGATATCCTGAGTCCAGCAGATCGAGGCTGAGGTGGCCATGAGCGTGCCACTGCACTCCAACCTGGGCAACAGAGTGAGACTCTGTCTCAAAAAAAAAAAATTAAATAAATAAAGCAAAGCGGGGTTGTTTTATTTCAGTCACAAGTATAACCACAATACCATGATCATGAAATTGGCAAATGCCTTCATATTCTCCAGTGTGCAGCCTGTGTGCAGTTTTCCCTTTTGTGTCAAAAAGGACTTTGCATTGAGATGGGAGCAGCACTGGCCCTGGGCTGGACTGGCCCCTTCTTCCACCCCCACACTTTTCCTGTGCCTCCCACTGAAGGACCGCTATGGTTGGCTTGCAGAATTGCCTGTGTTTGGATTTGGCTGGTTGTGCCCTCGTGGTATTCAGCATGTAATCTGGTAGATCAGGGGTGTTCATGAATGTCAGGTTCGGTTTTTTTAATGTGAACTCATAGCTGACTCTGCTCTGCAGGCTCCTGAAGGCATGCGGCAGCCGGCTGACAGAGAAGCTTCTGGAGGGCGCACCCACCGAAGACACCTTAGTGCAGATGGAGAAGCTAGCTGGTAAGGTGGGGCTGCTGCTGCTTGGGCCGTGGCCTGCAGTGGTTGCAGGGGACCTCGGCTCTCTGTTGTCCTGGCAGGAAGAGCTGAGGAAGGGAAACATGGCTCAGAATAAGCACAGGATGAGGCTTTGGGAAAGTGTTCCCATTGTTCTTGGTGTGTTTGTTTTGTTTTTGCATCTTGTTTGCCTTGATGGTTGGTTTTATGAGACCATCTATTCCCCAGGTTCAGCCATCTGTAGAAAGAATTGACTGATTCACGGTTTCTTGTTCCTGTTTTATGATGATAGCCAAGTGCTTGGGCTTGAAAACAATCTGTTAGTCTTTGCATATTTTTTATTTTTATTTTTTTTGAGTTGGGAGTCTCACTCTGTCACCCAGACTGGAGTGCAGTGGCCATTCCTGGCCACTGCAGGCTCGACCTGCTGGACTCCAGCGATCCTTCTGCCTCAGCCTTCCATGTAGCTGGAACTACAGGTGTGCGCTACCATGCTTAGCTAATTTTTGATTTATTGTAGAGATGAGGTCTCGCCAAGTTGCCCAGGTGGGTCTTGACCCGCAGGCTCAGGCAATCCACTCACCTCGGCCTCCCAAAGCGCAGGATTACAGGCTGAGCCACCGAGCCCGGCCAGTCTTTGCCTCTTTACAAATAAAGTGTTCTGTGTCCGCTGGACCTGAGTTTTCCCTTCAAGGACAGCAGTTCCCCAAGCCCCAAGGTGTCTGGGCTTCCCCAGGTTTCTGATTATAATCTCTGTTTTTGGGGCTCAGGGTCCCATTCCGCTAACTTCCCAGGGCCACTGGTCTCCATCCTGGCTGAGATTTTCTGCAGGTTATTTGATTTTGGAACTCCAGGTCTGTGACCTCAGCTGTGTGGTTGGCAGACAGATTTGCGGCGCATATTGTGTGTGATTTGTCATTAGCAATGCTTCCCACCTTCCGTCTACAAGTGACCAACCACCCTAGCAGTTGGAGCTGTCTCAAGGGTATTCCTGCAGGCAAGTACTTGACTCTCACACACTTGCTCTGAAATGGGCTTTCCCAACCGGGATCTCAGCAAGAGCAGAAGGTGCTCAGAAGAAATGGAGCCTTGCAGTCCACATTTCTGCCTTCACTCAGCAACCGGCCCTACAACTACTCGTCATGCTGGTCACAGATGTCAGGCTGGTACAGATGGCAAGGGCAGTGGTGGAGTAAGATTTCCTGGCAGAGCTGGGTCTGTGGAAGCCTTGCGAGGGCTGGACATGCAAGCGTGAGGGCAGAGCGAGTTTTGAGCTTGTCATAGTTACTGAGGAGCTGAGCATCAGGCCTCAGGGTGTACCCTGTGGAGTCAACAGGCCTAGCTTTGAATGACAAATACTTATTCATCCATGAATTGAGGATATTAGTGCTGCCTCAGGATGGCTGAGAGAACTCATGAAGTGTGGGTTCCTGAGAACAGTCCTCACAGGAGGTGCTCTGGAGACACACCTGTTGGTATTTTCATCCTTGTTTTGAGTTTTCTTGCAAAAGGGAACAGCTCGTGGTCTTTCAGTAAGTGATTCTACGGCATTGTGTGATACTCTGAGCTAAGTAAACAGTAACCGAGCCCTGTTTGCCCACCCGTGCTCCCAGGGCAACATGGAGTGTGGCCAACTGGTCACAGACAGGAATCAGGAATTGACTGGTCAGTGTAGCCACTATCTGCCTTAGGCTGAAGTCACGTAATAAGACTGTTGCCTCTAAGAGGTGGTATGTCTATCACTGTCCTTGTCATCTGCCTTGTAGACTTAGAAGAGGAGTCTGAAAGCTGGGACAACTCTGAGGCTGAAGAGGAGGAGAAAGCCCCTGTGCTGCTGGAGGGTGCAGAAGGACAGGAGCTGACCCCGTGCCCAGCGGATTCCTCCTTACTCTCAGGCTGTGGAAGCTGGCAGCCACGGAAGCTGCCTGTCTTCAAGTCCCTTCGGCACATGAGGCAGGTAAGTGGCAGAGGGCAGAGGGCAGAGCCCATCAGCAGCTTGGGAGGACAGCCCAGGCTTCTCTGTCCAGCACACTCTGCCTGTGGGCCCATGATCTTCATAACCCAACAGGGAGTAACTGAGAGTCTTCTTGGTGGGCGGCTGAGGGCACAGGGGTTGTCTGGGGCGTCATCCGCAAGATCAGTGCTCCTCTCTTACTGATGGTGTGAGTGTCTTCAAAGAAAGGCCCGGAGGTTGGTGTCTTGCGGTCCTCTCATCTAGAACCCCCAAAGGGGTTGAACAACATCATGATTGGTTTGCATGCAGCCTAGACTCTGCAGCTTGAAAGTGATGGTCACGCCTAACAAAAAATTAGGAACAATCTGCATGTCTAACCAAAGCAGTTATACCCAAATAATGGAAGATTGTTAATTAGAAGAATCAAGGCATACAGTGTGGATAGGGTTGACGTATCTGCATGTCTACAGGCATACCAAGGACATAACAAGATTTAACAGTTTGGCCATGCTTGTATTTCTTTCTTTTTTTTTTTGAGTTGGAGTCTCACTCTGTCGCCCAGACTGAAGTGCAGTGGCCACTCCCGGCCACCGTAGCCTCGACCTGCTGGGCTCTGGCGATCCGTCCGCCTCAGCCTTCCAAGTAGCTGGAACTACAGGTGCATGCTACCACGCCTGCCTAATTTTTTTTTTAATTGATTGTAGAGATGCGGTCTCACCAAGTTGCCCAGGTGGGTCTCGAACCCGCGGGCTCGGGCAATCCACTCACCTCAGCCTCCCAAAGCGCGGGATTACAGGCTGAGCCACCAAGCCCGGCTCATGCTTGTATTTCATCAGATTGCTTGATTACAAGGGCAGATGTCCTCTTTTTGTAATATTTTACTGTGTTTCTTTTTACATTGAGCATTGATTTAATCAGAAGAGAATTCTTTCTGGTTTGGACAATGGAGTAAAGCTGATCAAATGGCAGTTGCCCATGGGGCTTCTGGATGAAAACAGTCGTTCATCAAAATCATGTATTTGGGCCAGGCGTGGTGTCTTATGCCTATAATCCCAGCACTTTGAGAGGCCAAAGTGAGAGGATTGCCTGAGCCCACGGGTTCAAGACCAGCCTGGGCAACTTGGCAAGACCTCATCCCTACAGTAAATAAAAAAATTAGCTGGGTGTGGTGGCACATGCCTGTGGTTCCAGCTATTTGGAAGGCTGAGATGGAAGGATCACCTGATCCCAGCAGGTTGAGGCTGCAGTGGCCATGAGCGTGCCACTGCCCTCCAGCCTGGGCGACAGAGTGAGAGACTCCACTCAAAAAAAAATTCATGTATTTGACTGAAAGCATCCTTGCTGATTTTTGTTTACATGGATTAAGTTGGAAGGGAACTTGAATCTCCCTGGAGGTGGGACTGTTTTGAGGCAGTTGGGGTTTGGTGAAATGCAGTATTGTAGCCTCTTTTTTATGTTTTGTGTTATTTCAAAACCATGTTTGGCTTTTTAGAAGCGATAAGACAACAGGCTGGACTCTTCTGAAATGTCCACATCATGGAAGTAAATAAAAGATGAAGTTTTGGGAGGGATTATTCTAGACTCAAGAGTAAAGGCAAGACAGTGAGAAGCAACCATGACCCTTTAATAGCTCCTGGATCAAGAGAACAGCGGCTGTAAAGGATGTGGTCGGGGCTTTGAGCTTGGGCGTGGGGCTGGATGCAGATGGCTTATGTGTGTTCTGGGTGTAGTCATGGCCTGGGTTGTGGAGGAGGCCCTTGTTCTTCTTGAATGGTGACACGTCACGGGGCCTGCAAGGTTCTAATAGTTCAGCAAAATAAAGAGTGTCCATAAAGAGAAGGTAAATGTTGCAAAAGTAAACACCTCTTTGCTTTAAATTTCTAAAAATGAAACGGAAAAGATTTTAACAGGTGTGAGAGCTTTGGAATTTGGCTCTCACATGCAAATCCAAGGGACTTCTGTCTCTCCCCTTTCAACTTTGGGCAGGTCACTGACCCTCCCTGAGAAGAGAAATGACTTTTTCCTGACCGTCCTCCTTGGCTGTACAGAAAAAGTTTCCAAATACACAAATAAAGTCATTGCATTGGAAAGAGAGAAAACATATTTCTGTTAATTATGCAGAAGCACTGTGTTCTATTGTCTAGGTCCTAGGTGCCCCATCTTTTCGTATGTTGGCCTGGCATGTTCTCATGGGAAACCAGGTGATCTGGAAAAGCAGAGACGTGGACCTTGTCCAGTCTGCTTTTGAAGTTCTTCGGGTAAGAACATTTTTTTCTTATGTGTATAGCAGGGTGGTGTTGACCTAGAATCTAACTTTAGGTAGGAACGTGAGGGTGCTTTGACCATTTGGTGCAGAACCTCATGAACAGTTCATGCCTGAATCCAAGATCTGTGGTGGTTTTCTCCAGTATTAAAAATGGCAGTCACTGATTTTTTTATTTCCAGTGAAAAGACTCTGTGCTGTCTTGATAGATCGGCAACTAACTACCCTATCTTCCCTTCCCCAGTCCCTAGCTTCCTCTAAGAAGCCATTAGAGGGGAGGGGTCACCTGTTGCAGAAGCAGGTCTAGGCCCTGTGCCTCTCTCTCAGAGAGTGGGGGTGGGCACACAGTACAGCATGTTGTCTCTGCCTGGGGTACTGTGGGCGCCTGGGTCTGGTCTGATGATATTTAAATCATCAGAAGGCGTGAGCATGCCTGCTGACTGCCTAGGCTAAGAGGAAACAGAATATGACAGTCTCTGTAGAAGCTTCTCTCTTTGTGGGATGGGGAAGAGACGACGTCTGAGAAGGCAAAGAATAACCTAAGAGTTAACACTGAAGACTGGGTGTGCTGGCTCAAGCCTGTAATCCTAGCACTTTGGGAGGCTGAGGCAAGAGGATTGCCTGAGCCCAGGGTTCGAGACCAGCCTGGGCAACTTGGTGAGACTTCATCTCTACAGTAAATTAGCCAGGCATGGTACACGTGCCTATAGTTCCAGCTGCTTGGAAGGCTGAGGCGGAAGGATCACTTGAGCCCAGCAGATCGACGCTGGGGTGGCTGTGAGCGTGCCACTGCACTCCAGCCTGGGTGATAGAGTGAGACTCCAACTCAAACAAAAAAAGAGTTAACACTGAGAAGGCAAAGGCCACGCAAATCAGTGTATGACTAACAACCAAGACAAGAGTTAGGGGCCCAGTGGTGGAGGGCACCCCTGTGGGCTGAAGGTCCTGGGACCCCTCTGGAAGGTGAAGGCTTTGAACTGGGCTGCAGAGGGCACGTGGGGCTTGGGTGGTGGAGACAGGCCAGGTCTGGGCACTTCCTTGCATCCTTAGTCTGAGTCGCACTGTCCTCCCCAGACCATGCTGCCTGTGGGCTGTGTCCGCATCATCCCGTACAGCAGCCAATATGAGGAGGCCTATCGGTGCAACTTCCTGGGGCTCAGTCCGCACGTACAGATCCCCTCCCACGTGCTGTCCTCAGGTGCGTGCAGGCGTGGGCTGTGGGGCTGTGTGCTCCTGCTCTGTGTGTCCCCACTCCTCAGACCCAGAGTGGAACTGGATCTTGATGGGGGGTTGTGGAGGTGGGGGACCCCATTGTAGAACCAGCTTCCCCCATGGCACTGGGGGTCTGTCTTGACACAGGGGGTGTCAAGATGGGGGGTGGCTGTGCTGGCTGTGGCTCTTAGTGGGCTGCAGGTCACAGTCCTGAGGGTGGGAGGGCGTGTGTCTACCAGAGGATCATCATGGTCCGGGTGAGCTGGTGCCCATGCCATGTGGAGGCTGGAGGACTTGGTGTGGGCCTCCCACATCCTGCGGGCCATGCCATCCTCCTGTCCTCTCACTCTTCTCCATCCTGCCCTGGTCCTCTCTAGTCTTTTTCTTCCTGTCTTGTGCCTGGAGTCTTCCTTGGTATTCATTGGTGCAGTCAGGGCTGCTCTTCTGCAAGAGACCCAGGAAGCTAGCTGACATCCCTTGTTTCTTGGGGTGGGATGTCCAGGAGTCAGCCCCAGCACATCAATTACTTGCCAGGACATCTGTGAGAGGCCATTGCTATGCTCGTGGGCTGGGTCCTGCCTCCCTGAGTGGCAGGGCCTTTTTTTCTGGGTAGTGTTACACAGGCTCTGGTTTCAGACATAGTCTTGAAATTCTTACTACTACCTGTATGACCTTGGGCAAGTTACTTAACCTCTCTAGGTTTGTTTCCCTATCTATAAAATGGGGGTAATAGTGAGACCACAGTCAAAGAGCTGCTTAGTATGGTGAAAGGAGGTATATGATTTGTGGTTGTTATAATAATAAATTATTAGTTTAAGGGAAAAGTTAACTCTTAACTCTGTTCATAAGTAATCTGCAAAAGGTTTTACATGCCAAAGCATTATTCTTGAGAGAGCTTTTGCCTGGCAGTGTTTTTCTCATTGGCCTGAGATAATTTGGAGTGGCATGGGGTGGCAGGATGCATTGGGCTTGTGAAGGAATGAAATGAGGGACACGTAATAGGACCGGTGTCTTGTTTTGCTGCAGAATTTGCTGTCATCGTGGAGGTCCATACAGCCACTCGCTCCTCCCTCCACCCAGTTGGGTGCGAGGATGACCAGTCTCTCAGCAAGTACGAGTTTGTGGTGACCAGTGGGAGCCCCGTAGCTGCAGACCGAGGTGGGTGCCGCCAAGCCAGTTGATCTTTCATCAGAAAGGGCTGTGGGCTCCTGCCTAATGCCGCCCCTTGCTCTTCCCCACCCTCTTCCCTCTTCCCAGTCGGCCCCACCATCCTGAACAAGATCGAAGCAGCTCTGACCAACCAGAATCTGTCTGTGGATGTGGTGGACCAGTGCCTTGTCTGCCTCAAGGAAGAGTGGATGAAGTAAGCCCGCGCAGCCTCAGCTCCCAGGGGCCTCTCTCCTCCAGTAGCGGCAGATGCTATCAGAAACCGCTTCCAGAAAGGACACCAAGCCATGGCCCCAACAGAGGCACTAGAATAGAGGTTGGGAGTGGGGGTTCCCATAACTCCTTCCCTGTGTACTAGCTTGGGTGATCTGGGGAAGTGACCCACTACCTCCTGCCAGGCTCCTGCTCCATGAGGTGGCAGTGACACCCACCTCCAGAGCTGTTGCAGGGCAGGTAAGGACACCAGGTGCATGAAAGAGGCTCATTACCGAAGCTCTGTTACTTTGCTACTTTATTAACGTTTAAAATCCGAAAGCCCAATAGCAGGTGCTACCCACCCCCCCCTTTTTGAGTGGGAGTCTTACTTTTGCCCAAGCTGGAGTGCAGTGGCATGTTCATGGTTACTGCATCCTCAACCTACTGGGCTCAGGTGATCCTCCTGCCTTAGCCTTCCAAGTAGCTGGGACTACACGTGCACGCCACCACACCTGGCTAATTTTTTTTTGTTTAGAGTGATGAGGTCTTGCCATGTTGCCCAGATTGGTCTCAAACTCCTGGGCTCAGGAAGTCCTTTCGCCTCAGCCTTCCAGAATGCTGTCATGATAGGCATGAGCCACTGTACCTGGCCTCTTCTTTTGTAAGAAGCAGGCTACAGCCGGGCTTGGTGGCTCAACCTGTAAGCCCAGCATTTTGGGAGACTGAGGCGAGTAGATTTCCTGAGTCTGCGGGTTCGAGACCCGCCTGGGCAGCGAGACCTCATCTCTACAATAAATCAAAAAAATCAGCCGGGCGTGGTAGCGCACGCCTGTAATTCCGGCTACTTGGAAGGCTGAGGCAGAAGGATCGCCAGAGCTCAGCAGGTTGACACTGGGGTGGCCATGAGCGTGCCACTGCACTCCAGCCTGGGCAACAGAGTGAGACTCCAACTCAAAAAACAAAAAAAAGTTACTTTATTTCTTTCTTGATTCCTGGTAATTTTTTATCAAATTTAGTCAAACCTGTCCAGATTGCAGATAATGTAGTGAAACTTGGGAGCAACCATTGTCTCCCATGAGTTTGAGGAAAGTTTTTCCTTCTTTCTTTGCTGTTTTGAGTGCCAGCCTTGCTCTTCAAGGCTAGCACTGATGGCTGGTGAGAGACCCAGAAGGGCACAGGTACGAGCTGCTACTTGCTCAGCCACTTCCTCCAAGAGTTTGAATTCCAGCTCCCCCTGCAAAGCTCCAGCTAGTCCCAACCTTGTCGGCCATGACTAGGGCTCTGGCACATGCTGGGGGTCTGAATGCTTTGCTTTGGTTTTTCTGCAGCAAAGTGAAGGTCCTTTTTAAGTTCACCAAGGTGGACAGTCGACCCAAGGAGGATACACAGAAGCTGCTGAGCATCCTAGGCGCATCTGAGGAGGACAATGTGAAGCTGCTCAAGTTCTGGATGACAGGCCTGAGCAAGACTTACAAGTCGCACCTCATGTCCACGGTGCGCAGCCCGACAGCCTCAGAGTCCCGGAACTGAGCTGCACTGCTCACCCTCTGGCTACTGGTGACAGTGGTCCTCAAGGCCGTCCTCCAGCTGTGTGAGAGGACGGACTGTCCCCTGAATTTCAGAACTGCTAGAAGGAGCTGTATCCTGGCAAGGAATGGCAACTGTTGGGGCTGGGGTCGGCTCTGGGATTGGGGCCTATGCAGTTCTCACCCCTGTGATTAGAGGTTGGAATGCTGCCAGCCTGAGGAAGGCAGTAGGAGGCTGGGAGCGGGGCTGCTGTGTTTGCAGGCCCTGTGAGAGGACCTGCGAGGAGACCTTGCCCCTCGACCCCCTGCAGGTCTGTCTCAAAACCCATGGAAGAGACTGGTTGGGCCGGCCAGAGACTGGTGTTGTAGCTGCCATGACATATGCTCTCGCAAAGTTAACATTGAACCTTTCCATTTTGAGACAGAGCAAGAGTTTTCTGGGTTTTGTGTGTGAATGTACATTTTGCTACAGTTGGGAGTGTTCAGGACATGCACCAGTCCCTAGCCATTCCTAGGACTCTGTTTTGAGTTAGTGCTCTGGAAAGGCTTTGAAGGTGAAGTGGCTCTTTCCCTCATCTTCGGGTCCTCTAAAATCCACGTTCTGAAATCATGGGCCTCGTCTTCTGGCGTGTTACCCCGCAGCTTGTGAAGTTAACCTGAGCTTAACGATGGAGCCCTGGTCTTTTTGACACAAAGATGATACTGTGCTGACGTGTCACAGTGAGCCTTTGGTTGCCCAGCTTGCTGTGGATGGTGAAGTGCACCATGGTTCATTCTCTAGCACTTTCACCTTTATTGCCAATGTCAATACTTACACTTGGCTGTGGTTAACTATTTTCAGAGGATGGTGATTTAAGACAGTTTCATCATCCCACTGCATTTTTTTTAAGGGATTGAGTCTTGAACTCTTGGGGTCACACGCTTCTCCTGCCTCAGCCTCCTGAGTAGCTAGGACTACAGGCATACACCACCACAGCCCTGCCTTTTTTTTTTTGAGTTGGAGTCTCACTCTGTTGCCCAGAAGGGAGTGCAGGGGCCGCTCCCGGTCACCGCAGCCTTAACCTGCTGGGCTCCAGCGATCCTTCCACCTCAACCTTCCAAGTAGCTGGAACTACAGGTGCACACTACCACTCCCGACTAATTTTTTTTTTATTTATTGTAGAGATGAGGTCTCGCCTGCCCAGGCGGGTCTCGAACCCGCGGGCTCAGGCAATCCACTCACCTCAGCCTCCCAAAGGTGCAGGATTACATGCTGAGCCACCGAGCCCTGCTAGCCCTGCCTTTTAATAAGGATTCATGACTTGGAGGGATTTTCTGGCAGGTTTGCTGATTAGTTCATAGTTTTATGTTTAATTAGTATTTAACATGAAGACTAAGTTTATATACTAGGTATCTGTATAATGCAAGAACATTGGAACACAATAAAGATGTATTTTTGTAAACTGTTGACCAACATGGTTTTATTGGTTTGATGCCTAATATTTACTGGAGCTCAGTCACAGGAAATAGTATACTTAAAATAATACAGCAAGTGGCCAGTTCTCTGTGGTGTGGAAGTTGAGCTGCTGTAGTGACTTTGGTCTTCGCCAAGCTGGCCTTTGGAGTTCTGGTGGAAATAAGGTAGTTCTTGTTTATTCCAATACATGCATTGAGTGTCTGCAGTCATGTGCTTAGCATTGTGTTCAGCTTTCAGAACTGGCTTAACTCTTGGCGATATTTGCAGGTATTCCCCTTCTGAGAGGAAATGCTGGAAGCACACCTGGATAACCATGGCAGTCCTTAAGATGGCAGGACTTTCAGTCTGCTCATCTGATTGGAGTGAGAAAGGACCCCTGGCTGTGTGGGTCAAGGGAAAAATGAAGGGAATCCAGATAGCCACCCGCTGTCCTCCTGTCTTTGGGTATAGACTCCTGTTTTCCAAGTGTGTGACATTTTCTGGGAACACTATTCTGTGTTGACATGGTTTTTGCCAGCTGCCTGTCAGTCTAGTGACTGAATCCCCTTGGCGATTAGGAACCCAGCATATGTCATTTCTGCATTCACTTCATAGGGGTATGATCTTAAGTTTCCAGTGCCTAATAAAGCTCATCGACAAGGATGGGCAGGCAAGGCCGTTTGCTGACTGGTTGTGCTAGGCACTTTTCTGCCCCCTCCCCACTAAAAGGGCAGCTCTGGAAGCTTGATCCCTATCAGCTTTGAGAGCAAGAAAGAGCAGGAGGCTAGGCTGAACCTGTGCTGACCTGGCCCACTGCTGCCTTTGTAAGATAACCAGGTTCTGTGGTCCTGAGCAGGAGAGACAGAAAATAAATGCCAGGCCTTGAGCCTTTCCTTTGCGTTTGAAGGCAGTTTCGTGTACATCCTGCGTTTATATTCAAGATACTTACACTCCATTTCCCATTCAAGGAAGATGTGTCGTCTTAGGGATTCCAAGAAGAGACCATCTGAAGCATTTGCTCTGATTACTGGGCAGTTACCCAGGCGTCTTACCTAAATTCCTCCATTTTTAATAAGACTCTATACCAAACAGTGTACCTCAGATACTAGCGGCATTTCACATCTTTTTTTAACACCTGTCAACGTTTTCTTTTTTATTAGTATCATTTATTTATTTATTTATTTGAGTTGGAGTCTCGCTGTGTCACCCAGACTGGAGGGCAGTGGCACGCTCCCGGCCACCGCAGCCTCGACCTGCTGGGCTCCAGCGATCTTTCCGCCTCAGTCTTCCAAGTAGCTGGAACTACAGGCACGCGCTACCACGCCCGGCTCATTTTGATTTATTGTAGAGATGAGGGCTCGCCAAGTCGCCCAGGCGGGTCTCGAACCCGCAGGCTCAGGCAATTCACTCACCTCGGCCTCCCAAAGCGCAGGATTACAGGCTGAGCCACCGAGTCCAGCCTTATTAGTATCATTTAAAAAAAAATTTTTTTTTTAGCAGGTCTCATTCCATCACCCAAGTTACAGTGTAGTGGCATGGTAACGGCTCACCACAGCAACTCGTGGGCTCGGGTGATCCTTCTGTCTCAGTCTCCCAAGTAACTGGGACTACAGGCATGCACCACCGTGCCTGACTGATTTTTTACTTTTTTGTAGAGACAATGTCTTGCTATATTGCTCAGCTAGTCTTGAACTTGTGATCTTAAGCAGTTCTGTCACCTCAGCTTCCCAAAGTGCTAGGATTATAGGCGTGAGCCACTCTGCCCAGCCAACTTTTTTATTTTAAAATATAGACTTAGCTGGGCTCGGTGGCTCAGCCTGTAATCCCACGCTTTTGGGAGGCTGAGGTGAGTGGATTGCGTGAGCCTGCGGGTTCGAGACCTGCCTGGGCAGCAAGACCTCATCTCTACAATAAATCAAAAAATCAGCCGGGCATGGTAGCGCATGCCTGTAATTCCGGCTACTTGGAAGGCTGAGGCGGAAGGATAGCCAGAGCCCAGCAGGTCGAGGCTGCAGTGGCCGGGAACGGCCACTGCACTCCAGTCTGGGCAACAGAGTGAGACTGCAACTCAAAAATAAAATAAAATAGACTTACAGAAAAATTATAAAGATAATTCCCATACCCTCTCTACTTGGTTTCCCCCAACATTTTAATACTGTACATGACCACAGTACTATTCTCAAAACCAGGAAGGTGATATTGGTCTTGTACTATTAAGATAACAGCCCTCATTTGAGTTGCGTTCGTTTTACTCCTAATGTCCCTTTTCTGTTCCAAGGCTCCAGGTTGCACTGAGTTGTCTTGGTCCCCTTGGTCCTTGGTCTCCTTCAGGCTGACAAATCGCAGACTTTCTGGATTTTCATGACCTCGACACCTTTGAAGTGCCAGTGGTCAAGTATTTTGTAGATGTCCTTCAATGTGAGTGTATCTGACATTTTTTTTCTTCAATAGGTTGAGGTGCCGGGCTCAGTGGCTCAGCCCGTAATCCTGCGCTTTGGGAGACTGAGGTGAGTGGATTGCCCGAACCCGCGGGTTTGAGACCCGCCCGGGCAACTTGGTGAGACCTCATCTCTACAAAAAATCAAAAAAAAATTAGCCAGGTGTGGTAGTGCATGCCTGTATTTCCAGCTACTTGGAAGGCTGAGGCGGAAGGATCGCTGGAGCCCAGCAAATCAAGGCTGCGGTGGCTGGGAGTGGCCACGGCACTCCAGTCTGCGTGACAAAGTGAGACTCCAACTCAAAAAAAAAAATAGATTGAGGTTATGCATTTTGGCAAGACTACCACACGATGCTATGCCCTTCTCAGTGCATCGTATCAGAGGGTACATGATGTTGCCATATCTTACAGTGATGTTAAACTTGATCACTTCGTTGAAGTTGTAATATCTGCTGGATTTCTCCATTATGAAAACGACTTGACACTTGGTAATTAATATCTTATGGGTGATACTTTGAGACAAATATTTTGTTTTTCAAACTTCTGCCTACTAATTTTAACGTCCATCAGTGGATTTTAACTCAGTACCCTCAAAGTTTTGCAACAAGGAGGGTGTCCCTTAGTTGATACTGACTTGAAGAAAGCAGAACGACTCATGGGGAAAAGCTGAGAATGGGGAGTATTTCCTGGAGTATTTTCTGGAGTTTTCTTCTGAGCAGCAGGAATTTGCTACCCAGTGTGAGGCTTCCTGGCCGTCCACATGACCAGCTTTGCTACCTACAAAGGAGAATAAGAACTGGGGGTGGTGGCTCACGCCTATAATCCCAGCAATTTGGGAGGTGGAGGCGAGAGGGTTGCCTGAGCCCATGGATTCGAGACTAGCCTGGGCAACATGGCAAGACCTCGTCTCTGCAATAAATCAGAAAATTATCCAGGTGTGGTGGCACACGCCTGTAGTTCCAGCTACTTGGAAGGCTGAGGCGGAAGGATCACCGGAGCCCAGCAGATTGAGGCTGCGGTGGCCGGGAGCAGCCATTGCACTCCAGTCTGGGCAACAGAGTGAGACTCCAACGCAAAAAAAAAAGAAAAAAAAAATTTAGGATCTCAGATCAAACAAGTCATTTTCTTGAGATTAGAACAATAATACAAGGTATTGCTGTCTAATGGAAAAAACTGCTTTTTCTGCCACACGGGTCAAAAAGAAAAGGCTGAAGGAAAAAAAAAAAACAACCCAAAACTAAAATGCTAAAATACTTCCCTGCCTGCATCTGACAAGTCAAGTGAGACCAGCAAACAAAAGATACATTCAAGGCTTCTTGAAGATTTTGTTTTCATGAATATAATTCCGCCAGTCCTAGGTAAAATGTGACCATTGAAAATTTAACCTTAAACTCATTTGAAACTGAAAAAAATGGGGGGGGAAAAGAATGAAAGAGGTTTTTATCTTTTTCGTGGGGAGTCTGCGGCCCAGCCTGGCTGAAGCAGCACAAACTTGGCTCGCTGCAGCCTGACCGCCTGGGCTCAGGGCACCTTCGGCCTCGCGACATGCACCACCACGCCAGGCTAAGCCTTACCATTTTATTTTTTTGCAGAGATTAGGTCCTCCTCCTCACCTGGTTTCCCTTAGTACCGGCCTCTTACATGGCCGTGGCACATCCGTCCAAGACAGAAAGGACACGAGACGGCACCGTCAGGCCCCAGGCCGCCCTCGGGTCCCTCCGCTTCAGGAACGCCGCGGGCAACGCTTCGCCTGGAGTTGCCACGTCTTCCTGGCTTAGAGCCTGGAGGGAGAGGCCCACGGAAAGTCATGGAGGGGGCTGGGAGAAAGGCGGCGGGCCTGGGTCCCGGCTCGGGTGGCCCCTCCACGCCACTGCCCCCATCCTTGCGTTGGTCCTCCGGCCCCTGTTTCGAGAACCTTCGCCAGCGCCACCTAGCGGCTCCCTCACCCACGATGGAGATGTGACCGGAGAGGTGCACCGCGCGGGAAGCAGGAAAGCCAGGCTGGCTGTAGGCCTCCGGGCCGACGGGTGG